ATATCATCTGACCTCAAGCGGCCAATCACCATGCTGATGAATATTTTGTTGATGGGCACCCTGCTGAAATAACTCTCCGGATAGTTTGCGGGCCTTTTCGCTCCGGGCTGACTTGAATACCCCGTGCTCCGAAGCAGCTTACATATATCATCCATATTGGAGTCAGCAGAGCGAGCAGCACTGGATGGAGCATGACAAGTAAACGTCACCAACGGAGGATCTTATCAAAGTACAAGTAGTCCTCAACTTACAACCAATCGTTTAGTGACTGTTCAAAATTATGATAGACCCTGGAAAAACTACTTATATGATCCGGATTTAGCGCTCTGACATCCATTCCCACCCTGCAGTCACATGATTGCATTTTAAGTGCTTGGCAACCAGCTTCCATTTACAGCCATTTGCTGTAAATATTAAAATATTTTTGAAAGAAACTAGCGTTTACTTCCATTGTCCATTAATGACTATGGCATTTGCTTGATGACCACCATAAAAAAAGATAATAAAAATCAGATTTGGTCACACGGTGACCCATTTTCTAACCGTCATAACTTAAAAACCAAAATTGTGGGGTTCTACAATTGTAAGTTGAGGTTCTACAATTGTAAGTTCTACAACTTACAATAAAAGGGTAAATTTGCATTTCCTTTGATTTCATAGGTACTAATTTTTTTGGGTAGCAATATGAAAACAGTTTTTCTCTCTCTTTCCAGGATATTTTTTTTTTCAAATTCTCAGTTTGGCTTTGAGCCCTGGTATTTTCTGAATGTCTGTCATGGAAACACTAGCCAGGCCAGATTCTACTTATCTTCCAAGGCCAGAAAGACTGGCTCAATGTTGCAGTGTAGCTCGGCATCAATGAAAAAGTGTTTCTCCACCTCTGGAACTTTAAGATGAATTAATTTCTACTCCAGAATTCACCTGCCAGCCATACTAACTGGGGAATTCTGGGAGTTGAAGTTCACACATTTTATTTTTACAAAGTTGAGAAACAATGAATTGGAGAGAGACTTTCCTTTAAAGGCACTGCAAACTATTCTTAAAACAAGTATATTGATGCAATCAAAATAGTGCCCGAGTCTGCATGAAATAATCAACCACAAAATAGCCAATTGAGCCTATCCTAAGTCAGAGATGTAATACCTGTATCGATAATAGGAAACAAGCATCCTCTCTCGGACTTCGCCTTCAATTTTCTGATCAATGACAAGGAGCATGACACCATACAAATAAAGGGCTTCACACTGCAGCCAACAAGACAGACACAGAGAGATTCATAGTTAAAATTACGACGATATTAAGTGTAATTTCCTGTTACATCAAAGTCATTTATTACAGTCTTCTCCGTCACAGTATTATTGTGATGTGTTTAATTACAATTCTCTAATTCTTAGGTGAAAGCAGTTTGATGAAGACATTAGGCCAGAAATCAGGAGATTAAAAAAATTAAAAAAATTATATACCATAAATAAACAATGCTGTATGGTTAGATTAAATTTACCAATAGTTGTTTTCCATCCTCATTCAGCAGCACTGTTTCCAGAGTTTGCTGAATGTAAATCCCTTCATTGAGATCATCCAGGTATCTAGAAACAATACAAATATAAACTAATCTTTTGCAACATCTCCTGTTTATATACAAATTTATTCTCTGCTTTAATTTAACCGGACTTCCGAACCTTCTGACATAAATTCTTTCCAAAGTTCCTTTGAATACAAAAGAATAAAAAGCTGATGCAGTTGAAGAGAAGGAAGTGTTGGTAGCTATACAATTCATTATCTGGATGTCATTTATGGCTTTATATTCAAAGGATCTCAATGGATTTTATTATCTTTTAGTTATGTGGCATGTTAAGAATTATTGATCCCTATCAAACCGTCTTGGGAGATGTGTCTCTTAATCACACAGTATTTAAATCGTTCCTTGATATGTAGTGTCTTTCTCTTTAACAGGTAGTTCTCGCTTAATGACCAGTTGCTTAGTGACCATTTGAAGTTACAACAGACCATCCACAAAACCTACTTAAGATCCAATTCTGATGTTCTGATGGCTGCACACATCCCCATGGTCACATGATTGAATTTTGGCAACCAATTAGCTTTATGGTTGATTGCACCGTTCCACGGTAACATAACGATTTGTTTTTTTGCTAATTTCTGACCTTTTTGACTGACTTTCAATAAAAAACACCCATAGGAATACACTTATTGCTTAACGACTGTAGCATTTGCTTAATGACTGCTCTAAAAAAAGCCATAAAGCTCTAAAAAAATCGGTTTCAGTCATGTGGGTACCTCAACTTACGACCATCATGACTTACAACAGAAATTCCAGGCTCCATTAAATTGAGGATTACCTGTGCTAAAGTATATTACAAGTTAAAAAAGACTAATGTCAAAATTTAATGTCACATTTTTACATCAGTATCTTATTAGGTCTATCTGAAGGACATATAATAGGAACATTGAGGAAAATTTTGAAATGGCTTCTGCGTACATTCCCATATTATTTTCCTAATCTAATTATTTACTTAATTCATGTTTCATATCTGACGAATATATCATGGCTGGTAATCCTGGAAAAATAATCTGAGATCACGCCATCTTCTTTCCTAAATTTTAAAATGTTCTATGTTAAACATTTTTCTCCAAACAAATAAAGTGAATATGAGTGAATTCATATTTACAGATCCTGAGTTTTGTGTGTGTGTGTGTAATTCTGCTGTGTTTCTGTTCTGCTTTGAAAAGATCTGAAATCTAAGCAAGAATGACTTAATGATATTTCACATCATCACAAGCTATTTCCTTGGCTGTAACACCTTCTGTTCCAAATCAGTTATGCTATTTCAGTTGCATGAATAATTGCTTACCTGTTTAAATCAACAATATATTTATGAACACTTTGGAAAGCCAAATAAAATCTGGTCAAGATTTCTATGTTGTTTTCACGAAATTCATCATCTAAATCTTGCAGTTCAGGCTTGGCTTCTAGCTTCCCTTCACATAATTCGGTCCCCTAAAATAGGGGGGAAAAAATCAGGAACAGGATTAGTATGTTTGGGACAGAACATTAAACATCAATACTTCATTCATTAGTATCTGGCAGAACTGAAATTAACTTTAAAGAATGATTCATTACAGCACAATTCTTACTTTGAAGTAGCTGAAATCAAATATGATATCTCCATATTTTTGTTGATCGGCTTTGTCTTTGAGGCGGAATACAGACGGGACAAACTCCGACAGCCTCAGCAGTTCAGCAATGATAGCATTTCCACAAGACACAATCCGAAGAATGGCTTGTCCACAAAGATTATTTTCCGCTAAGAAGTCCAACATGGCGAAGAGGAAGAAGGCTACGGTAGTTTTTCAGTGCAGATCTATATAGCTGTCAAAATTATCTGAAGAAAAATCCTTCGCAACTCTTCCATTAACATTCCTGAAAAAAATCATAAACCACAGAAAGCATATTTTAATATTGTTGCTTTTCATGCTACAATTTTATTTTTTAAACTGAAGGTTGAATTTTGCAACAACATTTTTACTGCAGAAGATAATTTAAGAGTATTATTTAGAAGTAAATGCAGACCTCAGGATACAGCAGTCTGTGACGAGAATTTAAAGATTTATCCAGATTCAGTTCCTCTGGGGTCTTTTTCTGGCTATAAAAATGGCTCCATTCCTGTGTTGGGTGATGGTATGACACAGTTGGGCAAAATGTCTGCTTAATACAATCATTAATGATGAATAGAATTATTAAAATGAGATTATTGATGAAGCCAAATAGAACCTTCATATGCCAGGCTAATATATCTTGGAGAAACCAAGTGCTACATATTTTATTTTATTATTTTTTAAAATCCATTACTTCTCTCATGTGACTAACTTTCACAAAAACATCCAGCTTTTATGGAAATGAATCAGAGCAGGAAGCTAGAAACATTCTGGCGATGTGACAAGGTTTTTTTAAGAACGAAGAGTATCCACATAATTTTGAATTTGAAACCATTCTGATTCAAAAACAATTGGATGTCAGGGTGAATTGCAACTGTTTTCAACTGGAGAGGAAAACAAATTTCCATTTTCACTATAAACATTTTTAAAACGAATCAAAACACTTTCTATAAACTTGGAGATCACAGCACACTTGCAAGGTAGGCCAGACTGACAAAACAATGACAACTGAGAGGTGGGAATCTATCACTGGGTCTTCCACATTTAATTAATAATGAATATTATTGATTAGGCCCTTTATTAAAGGCCAAACAGAATTATAAACACTCATATTCTTGTTATAGTTTTTTAGTTGCTTTTAACTGAATTTTAATGCTTTGAATGTAGCTAAATTCTGCTATATTGTCTGTAAAATTATGCAGACTTTGACAGTCCATTGACGACCTCACCACTAAACTGTAATATACTATCATGTCTTGTTCTGTTCTGTTGCATTTTATTTTAATGTTTTAATTTTTGATTCTGGCTTGTGATTGTAATAAAAAAGTGATTGATTAGTGATTCGGGTATCGATTCCTTGATTTTTGTTAGCTAAACCCTGTGCGCTGCCCAAATTCCCATGTGTGAGATGGGCAGCCATATAAATTTAATAAATAAATACATTTTTCAAAAGGCATTGAACTGCGGTTCGGTATTATTGCGTTATCAATAATGCTACTCAATATTTGATCATGAATTAACAATTGCACGAGAGTATTTTCCGTACCGGACTTACTTTCTCCTCGTCGGCTGTCCTCCTGCTGAGAGGAAGAGAAGAGATGGATGAAGCCTTCTTTCTCTCTCGCTCCCCTTTTCAGACCGGAGGGAGACCCGCGGGTCAGGTCAGGACTCCCGGGGTGCACGCAGCTCGTCAGAATAGGTGCAAAGTTGAATGCAAGCCGAAAAACAGCCAGCAAAGAGAAAAACCGGGCCGGAAACCGAGGCTAGGCTGCAGACGGCCATCAAGACAAGGCAGGGCCGGGCGAGCTTCCCTTCATCTTGTGTCACATGAGGGTTTGCGCGGTCATGTGAACAGGCGCCGGCGTATGAGAAGCCTCGCCGCCCTTCCGACTCGTCCCGCCTTCTCTTGCAAGCATCTGAGCGAAGATTCAAAATAAGAGGAAAAGAGAAAACAAAGAGTTTTTTTCCCCAAGGAAACAAATCCCAGGTAAGGGGGAAAGGGCTGCTTCAAGTAAATGCTGGTGAAATAATTGCAGCGAGGCCCCGCGCTTGACCCGCTTCCTGGATGAACCCGTTTCTTGCATTCACACGATGCTTTGATCCCCACTAGCAAATGGGCTGACTTTGCCCAGGACTCGGCTTCCGTGCAAGCTTTGGGAGCTTCACTGGCTGTGTGGATGCAGTCATGACTCCTTGGGCGTATTGTGCGAACGGAGCCAAGTTTTCTGCGGAAAGAAAGCGGGAAGAGGTTTCCTTTCTGAAAGGAAAAAGGATGCTGCTGGGGAATTCTGGGAGTTGATGTCCACACAACTGAAACTTGCCTAGTTTGAAAAACATTGATTTATATCTTACTTTTCAAACAAGTGATTTATATCTTACTTTTCCCTGATGTGTTCAGTGGCACTTTGGTTGAGTTCTAGCACAGTTCAGGTTTCTAAATCATTTTTTAATTTTTCGGCAAGTGTTTTTTTTTTTCTTCAGCCACACAATCAAGTGCATTAAAAATGTTTTGTTGTTTGCCAAGCAAAGAAAACATAAGCGCACTATTTTCCAGTAAGAATAATTCATAATCATTCAAGAGCTGTATTGGATCAAGCCAGCATTCTGGGTTAAAGGCGAATGAAATGGGCATATATGAGAAACCACCATCTCAGGTGCTGGAGTTTATATCTAGGTATTATAAAAGGGAACCCATGGCTAGGTTAACTTCTGGTGCTAAAACATATTTGGTTTTGGTTTGGCATGATTGTCAATCAAATCTCTGGTTTAGCATGATGTGAATCCCAGATACATTATTGTGCTTCATTCAACAGGTGGGAAAGAAAAGGTTTCAATTTCAAGCGATCTTGCATACCCTCTGATGTAGCTTCTCAAGAACAGTGTGAAGTGGCTGGTAAAGTAATAATAATAATAATAATAATAATAATAATAATAATAATAATAATAATAATAATAATAATAATAATAATAATAATAATAATAATAATAGAGTTGGAAGGGACCTTGGAAGTCTTCTAGTCCAACTCCCTGCTCAGGCAGGAAACCCTATACCATTTCAGACAAATGGCTGTCCAGTCTCTTTTTAAAAACTTCCAGTGTTGGAGCATTCACCGCTTCTAGAGGCAGGTTGTTCCACTGGTTAATTGTTCTAACTGTCAGGAAGTTTCTCCTTAGTTCTAGGTTGCTTCTCTCCTTGATTAGTTTCCATCCGTTGCTTCTTGTCCTGCCTTCAGGTGCTTTGGAGAATAACTTGACTCCCTCTTCTTTGTGGCAACCTCTGAAGATGGTGCTTGCCATCTTCTGAGAGAGTTCTGGAGTCTAGCTTAGGGGAATTTCTTAGTGGTCTCCCTTCCAAATATTAATTGGTAGGTACGTGAAAATGACCTTAGGGGACTGATGTTGTCTAAGGAATGGTCAGATAAGAGAGAGCATTTTCCCACAGTTATATAGTGGGTGCAGCAAGAGGAAACCCTTTATAGTATTTCAGAATATAAAGTAGATGGCGGGAGATTTGTATTTTCCAGACTTGCAAGATTCTTTTAATGTAGCCTTACAATAACTGAATTAGCTTATCTGGCCATGTTCCTGTCTGGTCTACCTGATAAGGCTGACACAATCACGTCATATCTTACTTAGGTATGTGTGTGCAAGATTAATTGACTGCTGCCATCTTGTGAGATTTATTCAATAAGCAATGGTTAGACCATGGATTAGGGAATCATTGCTTAGATACCGAGGTCCTGCTAAATGCAGTAACATCTGTTTGACTCATTGTTGCTGTAGAAACTAAGCCCTGACCCTTCACAAACACAGCTTAACGTATATCTGGTATGTCAGTATTTTCCATAAACTAACCAATGATGTAACTATTTAATATTTGTTATGTATATGTAGGAGTGTGGGTCTATACCTATGTTGTACATAGTATGCTTAGATGTGTGTCATGTATGTGTTTCACTTTGAGAGCGGACAACTAAATTTCATTTTTGATGTATGCTATTGTGCCCACAGTAAAAAAAATGACAATAAAGGTTATCTTATCTAACTACAGTCAGAATGAACAAGTAAAAAATTAGCTGCAGTTAAAATTACATGGGAGCAATAACATCATGATATGCTTATAGTAACAGTAAAAATGGCACTTGTACTCCTATATATCTATGGAGATTCTCAGTCATCCACTTCCTGGTTGTCCCAAAGGTGCTTTTTTAACAGGCAACTGGACTTTTTTGTTTTTCTTTGAAGACGTTTCGCTTCTCATCCTATAAAATCCTAAATCTAGAATTGTCCAAGTTAGGGTTGGATGTTATTATTATTAAATGTATTTGCCGCCCATCTTGTTTCAAAGTGACTCTTCTTAACCTTGTTAAGTGGAGATGCTAAGGTTTTGACTGCTAATTTGGCACAAAATTTTCAGAAGTTATTTACCTCAGTAAATGCATCTAACAAAGTCAGGTGTCTATTTTTAGCTGTTGTTTTCTCTAAAGTTGGAAAAATTCAGTTGTGCTAGGAGAGCTTTACACAGCTTTGCGTTGTGTGCCAGTAACACCTGATACTCATGCCTTAGTCTCCCCCTGCCCCCCCCCCGATTGGGTTACCACAGTGTGATCTACATGGGGCTACCCTTGAAGAGTATCCGGAACTTCAGCTGGTGTGAGCAGTTATGTGCTTCCAAAACATGACGAGTTAACACCTTTGCTCCCCAAAACTGCATTGGTTGTCAGTTTGCTTCTGGGTCTAATTCAGGATGTTATTTTTGACCCTTAAAGCCCTTTATGGCTAGGTTGTTTGAGGGACCACCTTGCCCCAGTTTGATCTGCTCATCCTCTCAGATCTGACAAGAAAGATGAGGACCATCTCTCTCAGGGAATTACACTTGGCGGGCCTGAGGAGATGGGCCTTCTCCACTATGGTGCCTGCCTAAGGCTGTTTCTAAAGTTCGGTCTTCTTTGTATTTAATTTTGGCCCATTTTCTCTCTTTGCTCCTTAACTTTAGCACTAGAGCTTGCAGATCCTCCTTGGTGGAATTTAAATTTGAAGGTCTGAGGCAAAATGGGCCATTTCTGCCTAATAGTTACTTGGCCAAACACTTTTTGTGACTTGGTTTGTTTATAATATTCCAAAACACATAGTACATGAAATGCAATGAAGTAGCAGGATGGGTTTATTTCTGACCTGTTTTTAATCCAGGTTTTGACTGGGAAAACATCAAGAAGTCCTGGGAAAGAAAGAAAACTGGAAAGTTAAAAACTTGC